GGGGCAGGGGGAGCTTGGGGTAGGCTCCGGGGTAGGGCTGGGGCAGTGCCGTTGGGAGTGGGGGCCGCTCCTGAGGCCATCCACCCAGCGGCTCCTGCGGGCCGGCCAGCTCTTCTGGACCTACATCCAGGCCATGCTGACCAACCTGGAGAGCCTGTCCCTGGAGCGCATCTACAGCATGCTACGCATGTTCGTCATGACGGGCCCTGCGCTGGCCGAGATCGACCTGCAGGAGCTCCAGGGCTACCTGCAGAGGAAGGTGCGAGACCACCAGCTCGTCTACTCTGCTGGCGTCTACCGCCTGCCCAAAAACTGCAGCTGACCTGGGCAGGCGGAGCCCGCAGGGGCAGGCGGCGCCCACGGGGGCAGGCGGCGCCCGCGGGGGCAGGGCGGCTAGCCAGCTCCTCACCGCCTCCCTGCAGGCCTGGTGCACAGGACGGACAGCACTGGGGCGGGCTGTCTCCCAACACACACGCCACACACAACACACACAGCACACATGCCACGCACACAACCGGATTAAAGCTGCCTGGCTCACTGTCCCTGTCTTGGTGACTTTGTGGGGCTGGCTCTGGTGGGGAGGGTGCAGTGGGACTTCGAGGCCAGTTTCCTGGTGGGTGCCCCAGGGCAGGGCAGGGGAGATGCCCAGAGCAGGCCACTGCCTGCCACACACTCTGCCCTAAACCTGCTGGGGTCCTGATGTAACCCCCGACCCACTCCTAGCAAGGCCTGCAGTGGAGGTGGGATCGCACCGGGGCTGCTGAGAAGTGTCTCCCAGGCTGGCCTCTGCCCTCTGCCAGGAGGGGCCTCTGCCTGGAGGGGCCTCTGGCCTCTGCCTGGAGGGGCCTCTGCCCTCTGCCTGGAGGGGCCTCTGCCCTCTGCCTGGCTGGGAGTCCAGGGGCACTGCTGGACTCTGTGAGCACTCGTCTTGAGGCCCCGAGCCAAGGACTGTGTGTCTGGCCTTGTGACTGCCCGGCATCTGTCCGCAGCCTGCAGTGGAAGCTCTGGTGGCCCCAGCCGGCGTGCTGGGGAGCAGTGGTGCTGTGCGTTCAGGAGACGGCAGCTGCCACGGCAGCGCACTCCTCCGGGGACCCTGACACCCATCTGGGTCCTGGCCTTACTCTGGGATGCAGAGTTCTTGGGCAGGGGCCACCCTGCCTGAAGCCAGTATTCTCTTGAGGGCTCTGGGAACTGGGGTGCCCTGGGTTGTCCAGGCCCCACCTGGCTGCTCCCCCCACACCCTGCTCTGCGGCTGGTTCAGGCAGTACTTCCTCCTCTCCGGGCAGCATCGTGACCTTGACAAAGGCCCACAGGGCTGGTGTGCAGGTTCCCCGGGCTCCCCTCCCCCAGGTCTGCTACAAGTCGGCCATCCTGGGGGCTGCTAGTGGCATTCTGGCAGATCTGGGTCATCTCAGTTCCCCAGGTGGCCAGTGCCCAACCTCTGGGCCGGGTGCGTGCCGTCCTCACCAGGATGCAAACCTGCCCAACTGGATTGGCAAGGTGGCAGAGCCAGCTGCTGCCCCGGACACACCAAGGTCCTTAGGTTTCGATTTCCCAAACACCCATTCTAAAGCCAACCTCCAGCCCAGTGCTGAGCCAGTCCCCAGGGCCTCAGACCACCCACCCTGGTGCCTTCTGAAGCCTGTGTTGGCAGGAGCCTTGGGTGGTCTCAAGGATACTGGGGCATTTCTGCGTGCTGCCTCTGGTTTGCTGAGCAGGCCGGAGGGGAGGAGGGAGGGAGGGAGGGCCCTGGGTGGAGACAGCCCGGTGTCTCAAGGGCAGTGTCTTGGTGTCCTGGCCAGTAACAACAGGGTCCAGGAGTAGCCAGTCAATGTCCAGCCTCAGTCCCTCTCCTGGTCTGCAGGACCTATAAAGGGGTGGGAAGACCCCTGTGGGCGGGGCATGCTGGGCAGAGACGCTGAGGGAAATCCATCCGAGGGCTCTTAGTAACTTTAATGGTATGTTTGTTAAGCAGGAGGGAGCCTAGCACACCACCCCCAGCTGTTTCTGAACCACCTGCTCCAGAGGGAGGGCGCCCGGCCTGTGGCCCAGGGCTGTGGCTCAGGCAGGTGTGTGCTGGGTGGCTCCCAGATGTCTCCTGGGTGACAGGGCTCACAGCCCTGTTAGGATGAGAACACCTCTTGACCCTCCTAGTCCACTGCAGCCCCTTTCCTACAGCAGGAACAGAGCGGTGGGCCAAAGCCTCCCAGGGTTGCCAGGCCACTGGTCCCTAGGGGCCAGGGTGTGCCCTACCCCTGGTCTCCAGCTGGGATGTGGGCCCTACAGGAGAGCAGTTGATCCCCTGTCCACGAGCCCTTCCTCACCCCAGGCTGCCTGCCCACACTCCTTGAGGGGCCACTCCAGGCCCAGGGATGGTGCTCCAGCGGCCCTGCCCCCACCCGCCCTGCTGCCCAGCACCTCATTGTGAGGTCAGAGCCTTCCGACAAGCTCTGTCCAGAGGTGTCTGGTGGGGCCTGGGGCTGGACATGGCCCCGCCTCCCCAGACCTACTTCTTCGGGCTCTGCCGCCCCCTCGGCCCGATATGTCTGTCCCTGTTGCTCATCCCAGCCACAGGTGCTTCCTCCTGCCCCCCACCCCACCTCCAGCCAGGGCTTCCCTCATCCAAGTGGGGCAGGCTGGACCCCCGTCCTTCCAATGACCACCAGGGCAGGGGTGGGCCCAGGGGTCCCCCAGCTGCCCGAGAGGCCCTGCTGCCACGCTGCCCTGTCTCCGCAGCTGTGACCTACTGCGAGTGCAGCCTGGGCCTCAGTCGCGAGGCCCTCATCGCCCTGCTGGTCGTGCTGTCCGGCATCGGCACCGTCTGCTTCTGTGCCCTGGTCATGGTGGTGGTGGGCGTCATGCGGGCCAAATGGTGCGTGCCCCTTGCTGCCCGGGGAGCCACTCCAAGCAGGGGCAGGCCAGCCTCAGTGTGCCACCGTGGGGCTGCCTGAGGGAGGGGGTCTCTCTCCCCTGGGTAGGCCATCATGAGGGCCAGGGGATGGCACCTCCCTGGTGTGTGCCCCATGCTCTGAGACTCACACCCCTTTCTGCCCTCCAGTGAGTCAAGGACCCCTGGACAAGTGGACAGGAGGTGAGTGATGTGGGCCGGGCAGAGCCCACTGGTGGCTGCAGGAGCACTGCTGCCAATGTGGGTCTGCCTGTACCCCTGGCCGCCTGACCACCCGTGTCCTGGCAGGTTGGTGGGGCACTACGGGGTGCAGGAGGAGCATACAGACCTGCGCACAGTGCACGTGGAGTCCCACCTCATGGACCCCGACCTGGAGATCTCTGTGATGGAGGACCAGGGCCTCGGGACCGAGTCCATGGACACTCTGGAGGAGCCGTCCCCCCCGCCCCCGCCGCCCCCACCGCCCCCGCCCGAGCCGTGAGGCTGCTGGGTGAGGCAATTAAAGAATATTTAGTAGCTCCTCTGTGTCCTTCCTTCATGTGGGCATGGGCCAAAGCCCTTGGGGTCTTCTGCGGGGCAGTGCCAGACCCTCCCTGGCCCCAGGCAGAGGCTGCACCACTCAAATTTCCCTGACCCCACTGTTGCTCTAGCCCCACAGTCCTGCACCTTGTGCTGGGTCTCTGGGCCCTGCCCCTCGCCCCCTGGGAAACCCTGCCCGTCGTGGGGGGGGTCACACTCTGGCTCTTCCAGGAGGGAGCTGGGTGTGATGTGACAGGCATGACTGAGTGATACCCCTGCCCCCACTCACACTGGCCAGGGAGGTTCAGAAGAGGCCTTGGGGGCTGGACAGGACTCAGACACTGACCTGCTTCCCCAGGCCTGCCTGCTTCAGTGCCCACCCCAGGCACCCACTGTGTGTTCAGCCACGTCTGATTAGGGGCGACCATGGGCATGGATCATCCCTCCTGGGTTCTCGGGATGCACACCTCTTTGGGGAGAAGCTGAATGGGAGGGCTGGGCTGGGCAGGTCCACTCTCTGGAGGGTAGGGCCACTTTGCTCAGCCCCAGCTGGGCAAGACTGGGGTGAGGGGGTGCGGAGCAGGGCGCCCTGGGGACAGCTGAGACTTGAGTGGGCATGGGTGGGTTTCAGTCCAGCTTGCAAGCTTCAGTGGGTGCCCGGTGGTGGTCTCGGCAGAGCTGTGGCCTACAGCCGCCAAGGGAAACAACAGCTCTGGACAGGTGGTTGGCAGCGCGGGGCTGGCTGTGTGCCTGGCCCCCGCCCCAGGCGGGAGCCAGTCGTGGGACAGGAACTGCCGGCGCCCCAGCTGTAGAGTTAATACTGCTGTGGGCGCCACAGGGGCAGGCTCCAGGTACAACGGGCTTTAGGGCAACGGAATCCGGGTGCGACGGGCGTTCTCGCCGCGGCCCCAGCGCTGCCCCCATGCGAAGCCATTTTTTTCTCTCGTGGCCACTGCCCTCCGTCCTGCTGTGGCTGCTGTTGGCGCCATGGCCCAGCCGCGCCCAGGCGCTCTCTGCCGCGGTCCCCTCGGAGCCCACCGGCGCTCCGGCCTGTCCCGAGGCGTGTGCGTGTGCGCCGGGCGGCAAGGCCAACTGCTCGGCGCGCGCGCTGCCCGCCGTCCCCGTTGGCCTGAGTCGGCGCGTGCGCGCGCTGCTGCTGGACCACAACCGTGTGCGAGCGCTGCCGCCCGGCGCCTTCGCGGACGCAGGCGCGCTGTTGAGCCTGGACCTGCGCGAGAACGGGCTGAGCGCCATGCACGCGCGTGCCTTCTGGGGCCTGGGCGCGCTGCAGCGGCTCGACCTCGGCTCCAACCTGCTGGAGGCACTGGCGCCCGGTACCTTCGCGCCGCTACGCGCGCTGCGTGTCCTCTCGCTAGCTGACAACCGCCTGGCGCGCCTGGAGCCTGCGGCGTTGGGCGCGCTCCCGCTGTTGCGCGCTCTGAACCTCCAGGACAACGCGCTGGCGGCGCTCGGGCCGGGCCTGCTGGCCACTTTGCCCGCCCTCGATTCGCTCCGTCTGCGAGGTAACCCCTGGGCTTGCGGCTGTGCGCTGCGCCCTCTCTGTGGCTGGCTGCGCCAGCACCCGCGACCCCCAGGTGAGCCATCGAGGTGGGGGCGCCGGTGAGCTGTGGGGGGAGGTGCCGCGTGAGCCGGCGACCGTCGGGTCGCGCGGCAGCCGAGGCCGCCGGACTCCGCCTGACGCCCGGTTGTCTACCCTCAGAGGCGGAAACCCTCTTGTGCGTGTTCCCGGGGCGCTTGACGCTCAGACCCCTGACCACCTTCACCGAAGCCTCCTTCAGCCACTGCGCGCAGCCCCTGGCCCTGCGGGACCTGGCTGTGGTCTACGTGCTGGGACCCTTCTCCTTCCTCGCCAGTCTGGCCGCCTGCCTGGCGCTGGGCTCCATACTCACCGCGTGCAGCGCCTACCGCCGCCGCCGCCGCCATCGCGGCGGCACCCGCCGCCCGCGCAAGGGGCCGCCAGACCCGGAGCCCGCCGTCCAGCCCGCGGACCCTGAGAGTCCCGCCGCCGCCCAAGCCTGAGCCGGCCTCCGCGGGCCAGGGGCGCTCCCACCCTGCACCGCACGCCCCGACAGGCGCTCGAGAGCCTTCCCTGCCCCCTCCCCTCACACCCCGACGGCGTCAACAAGCGGCACAGATGGAAATTTTGGTGACATTCCTTTAGGCAACACCAGTGCGCGCGCCGGGCCAAGGGGGCGGAGCGCCGGGGCCCTGGGCGGAGAGGGGCGGGGGCAACGCCCGGGCCGCGCGGGGAAGGCGCGCGCTCAGACACGGGGGGCCGGGCCTGTACAAGGTGGCGGGCGGGTCACACACCCGGGGCGAAGGGGCGGGGGCGCCGGACAGGGCTGAGGGTAGCCGCCGCGCTCCTCGGCTGCAGGCGAGCGAGGCGTACAGAGCAACAGGGAGCGCCACCAGCGGCCGCAGGCCCGGAGTCCGGACTGGGCTGGGAAGGGGCGGGGCGAGCCGGCGGCCGCGTCCGCGGGAGCAGGGGCGGGGCTGGGGGGGTGCAGCGAGAAGAGGGGCGGGGTGGAGCGCAGGCAGGAGAGGAACGCAGAGGCTGGAGGAGCGCGTGGCCCAGCCAGCTGGGGCGGTGGGCCCGGCTGTGGCTCCGGTGGTGGCGCGCAGGATGGGGCTGTGTTCCTGCCCCTGCGCCCAGGGCCAGGGGAGCCCCTGCCCTGCTCGAGCCCCCAGGGCCCTGCCTCTGCCGGAGCGCCCTGCGGCCCTGCCCAACCGGTTCAGCCTCTGGCCCGTGCTGTGCCGCTCCGGTCCGCGCTCGGTCCAGCAGGGCCTGCTCGCCAGGCGGCGGGCGGACGGACGGACGGACGGACGGAAGGCCCGGGGCGGGCAGTCTCTGGGGCGAGTGGGCTTCCCTCAGGCCTTCCCGGGCAGCAGGGCCATCAGTGTCCTTGGCCGGGCTAACTGGGCGGGCGCGCGGGCGCGCGGCTCCGGGGGCCTCACACCACGGTGCTGACCGAGGGGTCTGAGAGGTTGAGCGGGCCCGAGATATCAGTGGGATGGTACTGCTGCAAAATAGAGATACAGACAAGACGCCCGTTAGCCCCACGGCTCCGGGACGCGCGCGGGGCCTGGGCGGGGACTGGCCAGCCGGCTGACCGGGGGCGGCTGGGCGGGCGCGGCCGGGGGGAGGCTGGGGGCGCTCCTCCCCCGACCCGCTCGTGCTCCGGGGCCTCTGCGTGGCCGGGCCGCTGTCCCGTCCGTCTGTCTGTCTGTCTGCGGGGGAGGGGGGCAGAGGAGGGCGGGCGGGGCGTCTCAGCTCTCCCTATGCCGGGCACACATCTGCAGCTGGCCCTCCTCCCTCTCAATAGCGCGTCGCGGCAGCACTGTGTCTTTTTGGTTTTGCAAAGCGACGCGTCCACCCCCGGTGCTCTATAAATAAGAACCGACAATCAATACCGGCCCCTCCGGCAGCCAGGGACCCCAGCCAGCCCTGAGTGCCCAGAGCCGCCCAGGCCCGGACCAGCCTCAGGACAGGAGTGAGGAACTCAGCAGCCAGGCCCACCCCTGTCCCAAGCAGCCCCCCACCCAGCCTCCCTCTGAGCAGCCGCCCAGCCCCAGAGACAGGGTGGGAGCTGGGCTGCTCACCCCCGCCCAGCCCCCCGGCTGGCAGTGCCCCTGCAGTCACCCCTGCAGGGCAGGGCCCCTGATGCTGCATGGTGCTGGGCTGGCCCAGGAGGACGGGTCCCTGGGGCCCACGGGGGCTCTGTGGGAGGGCCTGGGGGCATGTTCTGGGAAGGGCACCGTGAGGGGGTGTGAGCTACCCAAGCAGGGGTGGGGGCGTGTCTTCTCTGGCCGGGGCCCTGGGACCCAATGACCCCTTCTGAAAGCTGCCATTGCCTGCAAGATGTTCTCTGCTCCCCCTTCGGCCAGCTGCCCCCAAAGCGCCAGCTCATCACGATGCTGGGGACCCCTCCTCTTCCCTGCGCTGCCCCCACTCCCTCCCCACACTCAGACCTTGTCCCTTCCTGCAAACGTAGGCCCCACTCCCTCTGCAGTGGGCATGGCTGTGGGTGCCTTGGCCTAGGGTGGCCCCAGCTGCTCCTTAGGTCTCCTGTTCCTGATCCCATGACCCTCACTCTCCACCATCCCCGTGCCAAACCTGTTCCCCCAGGCTGCCTAGCAGCCAGGCCTCACAAGTCCCTCCTGTGACACCCTGGTGGCTGTCCACTGAGACCTGCTTCCCCTGCCCCACTTCAAGTGCCCTGACTGGTCCTGCAAATCCCCTTTCAGGGTGAGGAGGGCTCTCTGCGGGCCGCCTGGTGGGAGGCCACATCGCCCCTGGCAGCCACTGGGCCTTGCTCTATTCCAGCCCCTCCCACATGCTGCCTGATACTGAGGTGCCCCTAGCAAAGCTGTGTCCCTTTTGAGGGCTGGCTGCCTGGTCCCAGTGTGTGTATGAGCTGCAGTGAGAAGCTGCCCAGGGCAAGAGGAAGAGGCTTGGCTCTGACTGGGGACACTACGGGGTATGGCCGGGGTCCAGAGCCGAGGCACTGCTCTCCTCCCTGGGCCTCTCCTGGGAACTGCCCTGTCCCCCTGGGCTCTCAGACTCTCTGGGGTTGCCGCCACTCTTGCAGGGCCCCTGCTCAGCCTGGTCCCACCCCATCCCCCCACAGCCCATGTGGCCAGGGCCGGTCCCAACCCCAGGCCCCCCGCCGTCCACCCAGAGGGACCCGGGCCCGGCCCCCAGCCCCCGGCCCACACAGAGACCACATGGAAGATGCAACACACATGGCTCTGGTGAGACGGGTGACACAGGTGTCGGGGGCAGGGCCAGCGGCCAGACAGACGGACGGGATGGGACGTCACAGCCACCCCCTCCAGAGACGTCGCAGGGAGGGTGGTGGCTCCCCTGGGAGAAGCCAGAGACCAGGGACAGAGGGGTGTGGCGCCTCCTCCCGGCGGGCGCGGAGCCAGGACGCCGGCCCTCTGGGCTCCGTGGACCGGCACAGCCCGAGAGGCAGTGACTGACTGACTGACTGACCGACAACATGACACAGCTTCCAGATGGTGTGTGGTGGTCATGGCATGGTGGTGGGGGAGGGGTGGGCAGCGCGGGGCAGAGAGACACACGGGGGAGACAGGACCGAGGGTGTTCCAAGGACAGGGAGCCAGAGAACGGCTCAGAGTTGGGGAGAGAGTGAGGGGGGAGAGAGGGCGCTGCACCCAGTGTGGTGGGGGAGGGCCAGCTCTGGCGAGTGAGGGGCAGGAGCGGTGGGGGGCTGGGTGGGATGATGAGGGGAGAGCACGCCTGATGCACGGGACGGAGACACGGGGGCGTGGGGCGAGAAGAGTCGGAGACGTGTGACGGGGGTGTCCCCCTTACCGTGTCTTTGGAGGACCTACGTCTCTTGAAGCTGGAGGCCAGGGTGGAGGTGATAGCCCTAAATGTGGCTTTCTTTTTGGGGTCGGGCTCTGTTCTACCACTCTTTCTATCCTAAAATGAATATGTATAAGTGATTAGATGCTAGGCTGGCGGCCACACCTGCCCTCGCCTGCTCCTGGGGGCTGCTGCCCGGCCTGGCCGGCCGCTCGGCCCTCACTCCTGTCTGCCTCCCTGTGCTGGACTGCTGCTGAGTGGACGGCCAGGCCCACGAGGGCGGCTGCATTTCCTGCCTGGGCCTCGGCCCGACCTTACTCATGCTGGGGGCTGGCCTCGGGGGTCCTGGCCGGCTCTCTTCTTGGGAGGTCTGCCTCGTGCCCTGTTTCCTGGGCAGCCCTGACCCTTGGGTGTCCCCGGGAGGTGGGGTGGTGTTGACTGGCACCTTCTGAGGACTGAAGGCAGGACCTGCCATTCTCACAGAGGCCACTGACCCCAAAGGGGCACACACCGAGAGGAAAGGGCCGAGGGGCCGAAGGCACGTGGTGAGATGGAATTGGAGTGGACAAGAGCGGGCTCTCGGGACCCCAGCTGTGGCTCTGGTGGCCCTTGTGGCCGCCTGTGAGAAGCAGCGACCAGGTCCCCACGGGACCTGTGCGGCCAAGAGCGAGAGTGGGCAGATGAGAGGCATGGGGCTCTGGTACCCCACCCCCCATGGGCCTCACTGTAGCACCCATGGTGTCCTGGGTCCCAGGCACCCAGAAAGAGAAACCATAGAGCAAACCGGAAGCCAACAGTGGGGACACTGCCTACCCTGGTCCCCAGGGTCATGGCTGCTGGCTCCAGCCTCGCCCGCTGGCAGCATTTCCCACAAACACCGCCAGGGCGCTGGACCAGCCAGCCCCCTTCGGTTGTCATCACGGAGCACGAGAACGCAGCAGGGAAGGGGCCCCAGAGGCTGTTGAGGGTCTTGGGGCGGCGGAGGGCAAAAGCATCTTGGACTCAGGCACTACACACAGGTGGGGCCTGTCTTACCCTGCCTCAGTTTGCCTTCCTAGGGAATGGGCGCCAGGGGGCGACTCTGGAGACCAAGCGTACGGCGAAGGCTTGGTGTGGGCTGCATGGCCTCCCTGGGCCCTGCTTTGGAGTGGGCAGCCACCTCCAGGCAGCCCTCCCGCCAACGCTGCCCCTGAACCCGGGAGCACTCACCGCTGCCCCTGGCCATGGCTCCCAGCTCCAGTCCTGCCCACGTGGGCTCTCGAGCTCCCGCGCCTGGGGGCAGGACCAATGCCATGGCCTGCGGGGTCGGAGGAGGGCCGGGCCGGGCCGGCCACGGGCACCAGGCCTCAGAGGGTGGCCTGCCCTACCTGCAGGTTTTTCCTCCACACGTTGACGGCGGCAAAGGCCAGCTGCATTTGCTTCCGGCGTGCATCCTTGTGGCGCTTGTAAGCGATCTCAATGAAGATGAGGAAGATGCCCGCCACGATACCCCCAGCCACCAGCATGAAGACCCCTGTGCCAAGGAACACAACCTTCAGTGCTGCCGAGCCCCACTCCGGGCTGAGGACGCGTGGGCGGGCTGAGGCTCTCACCTGCCATGTTCTCGAAGGTGAGGGTGGCAGGGGCGTTGCTGCGCGAGTCACACTCCTGGTACCGCACCCAAGTCTTATCCAGGTCTTCCATGAAA